GTTCAAGGAGGGAGAGAGAAAATTGAAGAAGTTGCCCTAAAAATTTAAGGAAAATCTGTCAAAGGGGGCTTAAAAGTGAAAAACCTTCAGGGTTTTAAAATCACCCTACACCAGCTTTTGGGCAAGCCGTTTGGAAACCCTTACATGACAATTTTTTGTGAAACATTTTGGGGAATCAAAAGGAACAGAGGTCGGGGCCACGGAAGATTTTTTGTGCGAAAGAAGTCCAGGACTCTGAACTGGCCCCCGGGGCATTAAAAAAAAGAAGGGAAGTAACCCCAGAAAAGGACTCGACACCTCAAGTCTTAATGGAAGGGGACTCCCCTTCTAAACACTAACACACTCTCTCTCCTCCCCCATCCCTCAATCATCACCAATCTTCAATAAAAAAAGTGTATGAAATTTGTGCATGCCTTTTTTAGTTCCCGTGTGTATTTAAAAATTTAAAATTTCATGTGGTAAAATTTTTTTTTTTCATACTTTTGGGTGTCTTGCATGGATTAATTTGATTTCCACCACATCCATCACCGCCAAGAAAATTTCCAGTAAAAGACAGGCAAGCTTCATCCCTGCAGGGGGGATAACAATCCCTGTAATGATTGCACAAAATTATACGTTGTGAAAAACCAGGACCCCAAACGCTATTTCAGAACCCAGTACACAGGTAGCTGACGATCCAAGGAAGCCTGTGTTCAACAAAACCCAAATTCTCACAAACCCTTTAATCAACTATAGAAATGCAAGACATTCCCATAAAACACCGTACCGAAAATCCTGGAATAAAACCCCTTAACTTACGTCCAATAACTTTTTAAACAGAAACAACGGCTTCTATAACATAGCTGAAACTCTTGCCAAGAAACTTCTTCATCGCTATCCCACATAAGAACACAAGAATCGAGGAACACTGCAGAAGGTCGTCTCATATACTTATCCAATCTCTTTTAAAAGCTACCCAAGTTTTTAGACTCTATCACTCTACTGGGAAAATTGTCACATGCAGCTCTTTCTACCTGACCCAGCATTCACATCCTATAAATACTCACGTATGTTTCACCCAGGTAGATCTGTTTGCGACTTGATAAAGCCCACTGCGTGGGTGAAACGTTGTCAATAAAGGATCACATTATACTGCATGTGTGTTTATATTTCCACCATTACAGTATGCTCCTCACTTAGCGACGAATTCGTTTACCAATGTTGTCTTAGGAACAGAACTCTGTTGTTAAGTGAGGAGAGGCTGTATTTACGCAATGGTGATTTTGCCCAATTTGAGTTCCATTTTAGGCCATTGACATTGTTCCAGTTGACCAAATTCTTAACTATTTCACTAGTATGCCTTCCATTCTATCAACTGAGCACAAGACAATGTCCATTTAAATACAGCCTCTCCTCACTTAATGACAGAGTTCCGTTCCTAAGACCACGTCGTTAAACGAATTCATCACTAAGTGAGGAGCATACTATAATGGTAGTGGGTTTGTACCAACCATTTTTGATATTGTTTCAACCCCTCAACTGTCCAAACGTAGATCTACGTTCTTACCGCTAGCGCTCTGAATGTAGATCAAAGTGTATTTTTCCTGGCTTCAAATTTGGCGTGACAGGTCTGGGTAGCCTAGACATGAGAGAATGGGTCTGCGCACTCAGTGTACGCCATATGAAAAATAATCGGGGACCCTGTAGTACCGCATGTTAGCATCAGTTACATTCAGCTCCATCTTGGGTCAACATCATGGCAAACCCTCGTGATTCACTCACACCTCGTCATATTAACACACTCTTATTCAAGGAAAGTGATTAAGAACGTGAGTTTAGTGGCCACTAATGGTCAAGGAATTAGTGAAAATGTCAATGATAACCCTCAGCCTCTGGGGTGGCCAGCATGGCCATGCCAGACCCCCAGCCAAGAACTTCTGGGGTGGCCAGTGTGGCCACACCAGAACCTAGGCCAAGCACCTCTGGAGTAGCCAGTGTTACTACCCAGAGGCAACTACAGTGGACCCCCGCCTTACGAATGCATCGCGTTACGTTAAATCCTCCATACGAAGCATTTGAACACAAAAATTTTGCCTCGCCTCACAATAAAAAACTTGCCTTACGTGATTCGTCTGGGACGCATCCCACGTGTCGCCTCAGCGCCAGTGTTTACAAGCCAACCAGTGCGGTCGCATCTATGCATACATTCGGTACATTTCACATTATCCCAGTGTTTTTAGTGCTTGTAACTGCAAAAAAGTCACCATGGACCCCAAGAAAGCTTCTAGTGCCATCCCTGTGGTAAAAAGAGTGAGAATTAGTATGGAATTGAAAAAAGAGATTAAGGAAATGTGTGCAAAGTGGGTTGAACTGCAAACCTTTACGGATGAAAATCACCCTGACACAGCTACTGTAAGCCGTGTTGGCAACCTGTACAATGACAATGTTATGGCCCATTTTAGGAAAGCCTTAAAGGAACGGGAGGTACAGAGCTCTACGGACAGATTTGTTGTGCGACAGAGGTCCAGTGACTCAAGCTGGTTCTAGTGGCATTAAAAGAAGGGAAGTAACCCCAGAAAAGGATTTGCTACCTTAAGTCCTAATGGTAGGGGATTCCCCTTCTAAACAATAACTTCAACACACTCCCCTCCTTCCATCTCATCAATCATCACCAGATCTTCAATAAAGGTAAGTGTCATGTATTCTATTCTTAGTAGAGTAGTAATTGTGCATGTCTTCTTCAGTTTGTGTATTAAAATTAATATTTCATGTGGTAAAAAAGAAAAATCATACTTGGGGCTGTCAGGAACGGATTAATTTGAGAAACGGTCTATCTTAAACCTGTCATGACATAAAAATGCCATGTTCCACCAAGGTAGGGTGACCCAAAGAAAATGCATTCACCATAAGTCATTTAATTGCCATTTTGACAATTCAGATTACCCTCTGGCTACAGCATTCCCACCCCTCCAGTACACAGGTTGTGTGCGCACATGCATACGAGTATGGGGGTACTCACCTATATGTAGTTGCAGGAGCCAATTCACTGCTCCTGGCCCCACCAGGAGGTGTGTGTGTGTGTGTGTGTGTGTGTGTGTGTGTACTTGCTGCTCTTGTGTTTTTAATAGGGTATGTTTTGTAGGGGTAATTTCAGTGTGGAGATTTAAAAGAAAATATTTCACATAAATTATGATGTATCTTTGTCATAGGCATGTCTATTGATCTAGGTGTTGACTGAACTGACATGGATAGTGAAAGCTCTTGTTTAATCTAAAATTTCACCTGCTAATGGAGTTATTTAGAGTACATCAATATTCTAGCAGTGTATGCAAGTGCCTTAACCCGTAAACAGTCCAAACGTATATATACGTTTTTACCGCTAGTGTCCCAAACGTATATATACGTTTTATGTGTCCTACATTTAACATTGCCACGATAAGCCTGAGTCACCTAGACATGTGAGAATGGGTGTGAGCACTCACTGTGTGCCATATTAAAATAATTGGGGATGCCTGGGTACCATATGCTCTTTTTTCCTATTAAAAACAACAATGTGTTTTTTCTCAAAAAAGTTGGGGCAGTACGGTAGTGAACGTATATATATGTTTGGACCATTTACGGGTTAAAAAGCATCATCATTGGCTTGGCATTTTATGCAGCCTATCATTTTCTGGCAGTTGTGATGGTAGAAATTCTTTGATTTTAGTATGTAAAGTCTTCCAACTTCAATACACCTGGGTCCTTCATATTTTCTAACACTCTTCTGAGTAAGCTCAGCTAGTTTTACATTGTTGGTTTTTATTTTTTTTTAATTTTCAATAAGAGTAAATGAAATTTGTTCTCACTGCATATATAGTACTTTTCCTTGTAGTCTGCTGGAAGACCTGGTTTACTTGGGAATTTGCCGAGTATTGCCTGTAGAGGATGATATGCTGCTATGATTTGTCTCAGTCAAATATGAGAATGAGAGAGAATTGGGGAAGAAATGTACCTTGAGAAAGAAAGCTTTCGCTGTGGCAGTTTCAGATTTTGCTTTGTACGCCAAAACAAAACATCATGATTATCGTAAAAAAATTCCATTTTTGGACGATATGCACAAAATTATGTACAAACCACACATACACCAAAAGATCATACACAAAAATTAATAGATCTGATAAACTTTACAGAAAATATTTCAAAAAATTTTTTGTAGCCTATAAAAGTGTTATTTTTTAAATATCACTAATTGTATTTATATTCAAATGAAGAATAAACAAGAAAATAACTTGTGTTTTAGTAAATCAATTCAAGCCATTTTCAGAAATGTCTTACAGCTGGTTTAGCTATTTCATATTATTTTCGGATATCTCTCTGAGTATCACTGTACAGTATTCTAGTTAATATCCCACACTCGTGAGGGGTGGATATGGGAAAAAATTAATAAATTTACAATGAAATTTTATGGCTGGTTTTCAATTTTGTGGTCTTGTGTCAATTTAAACAAAAATGCAAACTGCATTTCCCAAGCTGGGATGATTGTTACAACCATAGAATAAATTTATTTTTATAACATTGGTTGTCTCCTGCCAGGGTTGGGTGACACAAAGAGGGTACAATAACATTAATTCCTTAGCTATCTTACTGCCAGAAGTGCATGGACATCACTCTTCAAAGGAACCACCAGCAAACTGCAACATTCCCATCCATCCTTCAGAGTACAGGCACTGTACTTCCACCTCTGGAATTAACTTTGCTCTAACAAACAGGTCATCAAACAGATGCTGTTGCATGATGGAGATGATACCAGGAAGGGTGGGAGAGCATCTTGCTTTGTACTGACATACATAACTTGACATGTTATTCTATCTTGAAACTAGTTTCATTCTACCAAAAAGTGACATAAAATACACAAATGCAGATAATGCAGGTAAACATTTTGCATGTGTATAAAGGATAAATAAAGTATAACTGTAAAAAGCTAAAATTAAATAAAAATAATGTTGATCAATACAAGAAGTTCCAAACAAAAAATGACATACCTTCTCCCTCAAAGTAGAGAGGGTGTGAGTGAACGTTGCACTATGATTGTTCCAAGACAGAGAGAGCATCCCCTCTGCCATAACGATACACTGCTGCTACCTGTTAGAGTAAACTTCAATCAATGGTAAATTCCTGCTGTACACACAGAGCTACTGTCATGATTATTTATAGTTTTAGTGTCAAGTAAACTACAAGTTTCAAGCAAGTTACAGTAATAGCTTTTTGTCTAGAGCTTTAAAGAATGAGCCATTACAGTACAGTACTTGAAGGTCAATATTTCAATACTGTATAATAAAATACTGTTTCTAACATTATTAAGGCTAGTCATTACAATTTTCTGTACTTTTACCTCCCTTTAGGAGGTGCCATATAACTAGTGAAAGACTCTTGATACAAGGAACTGGGAGCTACCCTCCCATTCCTTGGATCAAACCTTATTACCCCCTCACCCTTTCCATCCCCGCACTGTTAAACTCCAGATGTAGTGCCTCCCTATTAACATAATACTGTAGTAATAATCTGCACTTGAACCAAAATGTAAATTTAATAATCAAACAAAATTATTACAGATTTCCTACAATCTCAGTATTGTCTTTGAATGACTGAACAAAGTATAATAATCATACCTATATCAGATTGCCTACAATGTTTCAGAAATTAGGGCCACTCTTTTCATCAGTATTATCATATAGAAATAGACAGGATTTTTCAATCAGTGCACACAGGAACACTGCAGTACTACCAGTGTACACAGGACTACTGCAAAACCATTATACGCAACAGTGGCAACACGTAAAATGTTGTACTAATGTTGGTAGAATTACCGACAATATGTAAAATAAAGGACACTGGTGTAACTAATGTGACATTTTATTGTGGCAAAGTTTCGTTCTCCAGGAGCTTTATCAAGCCGTGACAAACACTACATAAGAAAATAAGAAAGAAGGAACACTGCAACAGGCCTACTGACCCATGAAGAGCAGGTCCAAGCCCCCCCCCCCCCCCCGGATAAGTCCAATGACCCACCCAGTCTGGTCACCTCCACTCAAGGATGGAGCACTGCACTAGACCCAGCAGCACAAGCTAGTCAGGTCCAACTCACACCCACAGAGGGCATATATAAGCTTAGGGTGAGGTGTAATGTAAGTTGTAGAGTAGTAATACAATATGGTAGAACAATCAACTTGCACATGAGTAAAAGGTTATGAAAGCTATTACTTGGGTAGCATAAAAATAGGTTAGATAAACATTTCTGTTGGTGGTTGAATCTGAGAAGGTCTGTTTCAGTGTTCCTCCTCTGTTGTGTAGCAGAGATTATATGATGGCAGGGTTTACTGTTTTGAGGAGGATTTTTAGTAATACTTGAGAGATGAAGCAGAAACACACCTAAAGTCAATAATAACCCAACAAAACGCGGCAATAAGAATAATCACGCAATCCAATCCCAAGCAACATCCCCTCCCCCACTCTTCAAAGATCTGAACTTACTCACTGTACAAAGCATCTACACTTACTACTGCGCAATCTAAATTTACAGAACCATAAATTCCAATATTAACCCTGAACTAGAACACTTTCTTCATAGTTGTGACAGGACCCATAGGCATAATACCAGGCACAAAAATCTCTATGACATCCCCAGTGTCTGGCTAAATCTATACAAAAATTCAACGTACATAAAAGGACCTAAAATCTGGAACAATCTACCTGAAAACTCTAGAACTGCAGACAAAAGTATCACTTTCAAAACAACTGTTAGAAAACATCTTATCTCCATGACACACCCCCACCATCAGCTAACTACATGAAAATCACCTATTCTCTTGTATCATACGCATAAAAAACAAACTAGACCTACTCTCGATACCTGTGATTCCCCCCAATTTTCACTTCCACTCGCCCAATTGACTGTAAACATAGAAATACGCAATAAAACTATTACCTAATGAATCTTAAACTAGTCATAAGTTTGCCTGAGATACTCCAATATAGGAGCTTCAATAGAAACTATGTATCGTGCCAAGACAAAACCATTCTCACTGCTAAATTTACAAACTGTAATGCAGGTACCTAGCCTTAATATCAACATGCTCCATAACCTGTACCAATATAGTTTGAATTAATCTTAGTCTGCCCGAAATGCCTAGTCATGCTAGGCATCATAGTGGCCCTCTCTGTAATTAGTATTTTATAATATGCAAGCCACACACTGTAACCAATATTCTATAATATGTAAACCCCGCACTGTAATCTTTATAGAGAATAAACTTGATTGACTGTTTGTGTTAGAAACAGCTATTAACGATGAGTCAAGGCATTTTATTTATTTTTCGCATCAAAATGCTATACAGTGAACCCTTGATATAAGAGATTAATAGCAATGATTATCAGAAGCTCAGTGGTAAAGCACTGGCCCTATTAATGTCAGGGCCTGCCACTAACAAGACCATGGTTCGATCCCCCCATCCATCTGTTCATTCATACACAGCTGTCAGCATAGTTGCCCTACGATACAGCTGTTTACTGTGACTTAAACTGAGTTTATGACTATAATACCTAACAACAGGTTGTGAGGTACAGTATTATCAAGTTGGATAGTGTAAACAGCAACCACCTCTACAGGAAGTCTAACATGACATGCACTGAGAACAATTTCAACCTTACAAAACTGCAATGCAAAACAGACATAAAATTATTATTTCATAAAAGAGACCAACCTTTGGAACAGTCTACACCACAACTGTCAAAATCAACACTACACTACAGTTCAAAATTCCCCTGGATAAATTTATCACAATGGGGAATCCTATGCAATGCACAGGCTTCCTGTCTATCCCAAGGCCAATGTAGATGGTAGTTAATAAAGAAAATGGCCAGATAATTTGTTAGAGAATTTTTAATAACCCTGTTTATACAAATTTAGTACAGATGTCTATAAACCCAAGGTAAGTCACCATGAATGACTATCAATGACTAAAGAGAATCACAGGCCACTGGCATGAACCACAATTCAAATACCCATCCATTCTTTTTAGTCACAGTAGAGCAGTATTAATCCCTCTAAATCTCTTCATATGTAATACATTACTTGGGGTTCTTACAAGACCCTATCATAAAAAATCTGTGGTCAAATAACATTTAAGTGACTATTTCATTTCCACATTTATGATGTTGGAAAATACTGTGTAATCTTAATTATGTTGTTATAGTGCTACCTTATTAAAATACTAATAAAATCAATAATACAATTTAATACTTTATGGTTATGCAGAGTATTTCAGGCAGACTAAAACTAGAACCTAAAACTGCTTGACTTGTATAGCTGTCTAGTTAAAGTTAGATTTGAATGGTATGATTTAACTGAACTGTCTGAAAATGGTATTATTAGCTCTAATGATTTTTAAGTAATAAAACAACGTACAGTAGGGCCCAACTTACTCAAGCACCCAAAAATAACCAGAGACGCTGTACTTAATGCCTGCCTTTTACTCGAGCAACATAAAAGGAACCAGTGATGTCTCAATTTCAATACTGAATATTTTGCTGATGATTTTATAACCATGTACTCATTACTTTAAAAAACTGATGTTCAAATTTCTTTGTTCTGAATACTAAATTGTAATACTTAACACTGTAATTTGGTTAATTAGTTCTATTGTAAAACTGTAATACTACTTCGAAATTGTAATGTTCAAATTTCATGGTTTAAATACTCAATTGTACTTCATATTGTAAACTGTTTACTGTAATTTTTACCATTTAATCTGTTATAGCCTAATTAACCTTAAGTCTGCCCATAATGCTCTGCATACAAGGGGCTTTTGGCATGTACACTCAACTACAATATTCCTTTGTATAACTATGTATTATGTCAAAATAAATATTATTATTATTATTATACGGCAAGTTAGGTTTCAGGTTACTACCGGAAAGCAGAACGCCATTTTTTCCACTTAAAAATGCATATAAATGCCAGATAACAAGTTTACACTAATATATATATTAAGTTAGCAATAGAACTAGGCATTAAAAACAATACAAAGTAAAATACACACAGTACACCCATTACTTGCCTTAAAATATTTGTAGTCTTAATGTAGGGTGAGAGGTGAGTTTTATTTGTAGGAAGTCAGGTTTAGGAAGTATGGCAGCCAGCCAGGTCAGCCCACCCCACCCAAACGCAATATACCAGGACATTTAATTAAAGCGCCCCAGAGCAATAAAATACTATATATACAGTACATTCATTAATTACCTTAAAATATTTGTAGTTTTAACCCTTTGACTGTTGTGACCCCAAATCTAAAGTCTCTCTGTGTTGCAAAATATTAACCCTTTCAGGGTTTCCAATGTACTAGTACGGCTTACGCACCAGGGTTACTGACGTACTAGAACGCCTAAATTCTAGCGCCTTCAAATCTAGTGAGAGAAAGCTGGTAGGCCTACATATGAAAGAATGGGTCTATGTGATCAGTCTGCACAGTATAAAAAAAAAAATCCTGCAGCACACAGTGCATAATGAGAAAAAAAACGACAGTGTTTCTTATTTAAAACAGCAAATTTGCAGTGTATTTTCCTATGTTATTTGATTGTATTCTAGTTTTTCTGGTCTCATTTTATAGAATGGAAGACATATTACAGAAATTGAGATGATTTCGATTGGTTTCATAATGAAGTTGAGTTCAAAGTAGCAGAAATGTTCGATTTTTACCAAATTTCAAAAGTAAACAAATCATGCCAAGCGACCAATACACATCAACTGGTGAGTCTAATATTCTTTCACAAGTGCAATGATATTGTTTATATCATTTCTGCACTAATGCAGTAGTCCGCATAACAGTAAATCTTCTATTTTTTGCGAGAATAAAAATTCAAAGTGGAAAGCAAAAGAGATGTAAGAGGGGCCTGGGGGTGTGACTAATGAATAGAGAAAATGTTATTTTAGTGCCAGGAATGTGTGTCTTGTTTATTCTGGACCCTATTTGGAAATTGGCATCTTCTGAAATTTGTGTGAAATTGGCAAAATTGCCAAATTCTGACCACTTTATTGGATACTTGAAATCGGTAAATGGGTGGTTTCTTGTACTCATTCGATAGGA